TGGGCTCTCATAACACCTGAGCAGTGCCACAGACTGATCGAGTCCATGCCACGCCGCATTACTGCAGTTATTGAGGCAAAAGGAGCCCCGACTAAGTATTGAGTGCTATACATGCACATTCTTTTCATGTTCATTCTTTTCAGTTGGCCAACATTAGAGAAACAAACATTTTTTCATTGGCCTTTAGAATATTCTAATTTTCTGAGATACCAGATTTGATGTTTTCATTGGTTGTCACCTATAAATATCTAAATTAAACGTAATAAACATCGGAAATACATTGGTCTGTGTGCATTGCATGAATATAATGTACAAGTTTCACGTTTTGAATGGAATTACTGAAATATTTTCAACCTTTTGATGATATTCTAATTTACTGGCCAGCACCTGTAATTGACTATGATGCCTGTTTGCAGCAGTCCTTGCACTTTAGTCTGTAATGTCAATATAATGAAAAATGGAGGAAAGGGTAGGGTTTGTTTATAGTAAACTATAACCGCTTTCACACTAGGTCCATTTATTACCTAAGGATGTTATTTAGATTTAAAACAAGGCTGCAACATAACATGGAGGTGTGTAATGTGGATAGAAGAGTAAGGTGTGGCTGTAGAAGAAACTACTGTGAGATTAAGGACCAATTACTCAGCGCGTCTCATTTCAGGCTGGCCTGCTTCAAAGCCAGTAATTCAAATTGAAAATGTCACAAGGATTTTACAGCCAGTTGTTCAATTCCAGAGGCTACTTCAGACGCAGCGATGAAATGTGACTCAGTGTACCCTCTGTAGTTCCCACTCACTCTTCCACCAGCTTCTTAGGGGCTGTTAGTTTAAGGCTGCTTTCACACGGTTCCTTTCACTGTGTAAATATGTGGGAATACCACATGATCATGCCATATTTATCAGGCTTTTACCTTTAGGTACTCCTCATTCAGCAACGTTTAAAAGGTGGATCATTCTAATTCATCAAGCAAATGATCAAATAACCTTCAGTAATTTTTAAGTGTTTTGTCTTGAAGGACATCTTCCTGTTAGGAAGTAAAAAACAATTCATTGCTATTAATTAAAACCTCGGAGCACCAATGTGACATTAGCCCTGGGAGCCATCCCTTTCTTTCAGGACGGCATTAGGCGTTTTGTGTGAATGTGCTTGTTTTCAGAGCAACATTTGGATTCTCTGCAGCATTATGTAATCTCTGACGTTCCACTTCCCTCTTGAAAGGCCATGTTTTTTTTGGCAGGCATGTGTTTTACATCTGGGGTGTTGGATTCAAGCTGCGGTTGTGGCATTGGTGACAGCAGTTTTGTTTGGGTTAAGTGGTCGAGAGTCCTTAGTTTTGGTCTGACGTCTTCATGAAACTAATTTCTCGATGTTTCTGTTCCGTACTCCTACTTTAACTTGGTTTTCATCTGCAGCTGGTGAAATCTCACAGTATCTGCATGTCTTCTAGCAGTCTGCACGACACCTTTCAGAAGGCGGCTGCTTTAATGGCTGGATGATGCACCTCCTCCTTCCTCTCGCTACCAAGCAGCTGAATGTGTGTGAGTGTGAGAGAACGGCACTAGGAGGGGGATGTCACTGAATGAAGCCTAGCCTGGATGTTTGCACTGCAGGGTGGGCGGTTGCTAGGCAATGGCAGTGTGTTTGTTTTATTTTTAGAGAGAATCACTGCCGGTGAATGTAACAGATTTGCCTCTCTCCCATGCACACATGTGAACACCCTTCCACATTAAATAAAAGGGGGCAGTCGAAGTGGTGACAGTTAGCTTTAGAGCGTTTTTATTAGTCCAATCATGTGGCTGGAAAGCAGGAGAAATGTGAATGGTCTGTCCTTGCTGTCTCACGGCGGTCATGAAATCTGAACTGGCTTGGCGTATTTATAGAGAATCTTTTTTTCTCATACGCAGACTGACACCACGCGCATGCGCAGAGCACACAAAAACACACACACCTTCCTCAGAAACCAGCCACAGTCACTCCTTGCATGCAACAGCCTTTTTTGGGCACGTTTGTCGTGGCACATGCACAGTCATGTGGGAAGTAAAGCTTACTGTAAAATCAACATCTGTTTACCTCTATTCATTGTTTTAAGCAATGTGGCTGCTAAGGTAGGAGTTCTGTTTAGAACCAATAAACAAGATGGAGTTATGGTTGGTTAAATGATGCCTAAAGGATTAAGCTGCAATATTTCTATTATTTGGTCAGGTTATTCTTTTATGTAAGTTTATCTGCATTTCCACCATTTTACATTTTAGATCTGACATTTTATCACAAATTTTCAAATAGCTTCTGATTTTAACTGATAGACAACCATAAAAAGACATTTTATAAAACTTTTTTTAACAAAACAGAAGTTTTTATGAAAGTTCACAAACCTGAATGCATATTTGATGCTATTTAATATTAGTTTAGTGATGAAAGTCATTCAAACCTGTCAGAATCATGCCCTGTATTTGATTTGTTTCCAATCTCCAAAGTGCATCATGAATGAGTGATTTATTAAAACCTGTGTGGAGTAGGTGGAAAGCTTTTAGTGGATGTTTTGCCAGCAGATGAAACTTGTGTAGTGAGGACTTATTTCCTGTGCTGTGCTGTTCTTCACATGTCTTGTTGTAAACTTTAACCTCTTCAGGTGAAAGTGCTTCAGGATAAAGGATGCTTTACTTTCTCTGGCAGATATTTCTCACTGCCTGCAACCTGCTTGTGAACTTGAGTAATAATGCACACCCGTTGTGCTCTCGGTGTCTCAAACAGGAGACTGTTTTGTTTAGTTTTTTTTTAATTGCTTCCAGACCAACAGGTTACCTCATTTGTAAAATGCTCCCCATTACTTGTGGGCCATTCCCATCTGTACCGGGTCGGCCCGGGCCGGGTAGCCCCAGTCGGCCCCAGCCTGGCCCGGTTGATTCCACACATCCTTGTCTTAAGCCCATGTGGGCTGATTCTACCCACCAATCAGAGGCTTGCTCTAATGGAAGGTGTGAATTTGCTGTCAGCAGTGGGTGTGTTGGCCCTGGTCGGCCTGAAGCAGACCCCCTCGAGAAGAGGGCTGAGAATGAGCCCTGGTTGGCCCGGAAAAATACCAGGCCACCCAGATATGTAAACAACCTACGCTACCCGGCCCGACCCGGTACAGATGGGAATGTCCCATTGTATTTTTCCGTACTAAGTTATTGGCACATTAAAGGTTAAACATGGAACAATTGAATAAAAAGCTACATTATTTAAAATAATGCCTCCACGGGGCGCTTAGATGTGTGCAGAATGAAGGCGCAGTATTTCCTTTAAAAGCTATATTTTAAATGAAAAATAATGACATTTTTGTTTTGACGAGCACCATTGCGGGATGCCAGACAGTCTGCAAAAATGTACAGCTCAGTTTCACTTATCAGTCACCTAACTTGAGGGTTAAACGTTAGTTGAACCTGAAACTCAGGGAAACGGAGTATTGCTGCTGCGGCGTCCCAATTCAGACCTGTTCAAAAGACGTGGATCTGCGACCATGTACTCCAGAGCGTTGAGTAAAATGTCAGGGGAGAAGTTTTGTCAAATGTGTTGGAAGAGCTTCTTTGTGTTGGAAGACCCTTTCAGTGCTTCTTTTGATTTTTGTTTTTGCGAGCCAATTTGTTGGCACACTAGGTCCAATACAATAAAATGCCAAAGTAATAAAGTTACTGTCAATGAATGGCATGATTGTTACATACAAAAATGTTGCTTTTTTAAAATTTATTTATTTTTAAAAAGCATTATTTGTCATGCATTTTTTTCCCATATTGTTTCTGTTCTTTTTTTTACTTTGCAAATGGGGATGTCCTGTTCCGATATCGATATTGGAAGTAATTCGATATTGGCCCAAAAACACGGATTATATTGGACTGCATCAAAAATCTCTGATAAAAACAGTCCATTAAGGTTCACATTTTTGCAACCAATGGTTTTTTTCATTTCACTGTTGCTGGCTCTTGTTCTCAGATTTAGTAATATCAAATGATCAAGCCTTTCACACATTCCACACTACGAAACAGGTTAAAGTATGTATGATTTGTGTTTATATCATATCGGATTGATATCGGTACCAGTCAATACTGAAGGCTGCAATATCGGTATCGAATCAGAAGTGAAAAAGTTGTATCGGGACATCCTTATTTGCAAAACAGGCAAATTAAAGTTAGGCTCAGCTTCGAAAACATATAAAGTGATTGTTGCTGCATGTTAAAAAATAAAAGCAGAACTGAAATGGTTTAAGGTTATCTCTCAGTGATTTATTGTAATATTCAACTCTTTTTTTTTTTTCCTCAAGTTATTTTTCTGAAAACATCAGGCACCATACTGATGTGGTCCAGAAGCCACCTCTGGCTCTTGGGCCTTATTTTACCCATTTGTGATGGGTATTATTGCCAGTGTCTGCACTCTGCACACATGCCTCACACGCTGTCCATAGGGCACCAAGTGGCCCCAAAGATCAGGCTCGTGAAAAATCATATTATAGTAATCATAATAACATGTTAATAGACATAATCAACACAAAACTAAAATATTTGCTCAAGATAATGATGGACCTCTATCCCCAGTGGTGCCCCCACCCACAAAGCATTTGCACTTAGGGCACCCAAATGGCTAGCACTGCTCCTGATTATCACTGATGACACAAATCACTATGAAAAATCTTAAACTGTGCCGTTTTAGGTACCGTAGAACATTTACAGTGTTCAGACTGTGTAGTGGTGTCTTAATCATTCCTGAAGCTGCAAAACATGTTTTATGGTTCAATGCTTTAGTTTGATGTTACTTTCTCATTATTTACTGTAATAAATGCAACACACTCCCTTCATATGCATCCTTTTAATCATTTTGTTATTATAATGGGATATGATTTTTTTTATAACAGCCTTGCATTAATTGAAAAGACCAATCACATCCTTGCTCTAAGCTCCTATGGTTTTCTTGCTGGTAATTATGCAGTTTGTTACCTCATTTCTCCTCTTTCTTTTTCTGATTTTCAGTTATAGGCAGCAATGGGTGCATTCCTGGACAAGCCGAAGACTGAGAAGCATAGTGCCCATGGTGAAGGCAACGGGCTCCGCTATGGCCTGAGCTCCATGCAGGGCTGGCGGGTGGAAATGGAGGATGCCCACACAGCTGTAGTGGGCCTTCCCCATGGACTCACTGATTGGTCTTTCTTTGCTGTCTACGACGGTCATGCTGGATCTCGAGTGGCCAACTACTGTTCTGGGCATCTTCTGGAACACATCTTATCAGGAGGGGCTGAGTTCGGTTCTGGTTCTGGCTCAGTAGAGGGTGTGAAAGACGGGATCCGCTCGGGCTTCCTGAACATTGATGAGTACATGCGCAACTTCTCCGACCTGCGGCAGGGTCTGGACCGCAGCGGATCAACGGCCGTGTGCGTGTTGCTCAGCCCTACACACCTCTACTTCATTAACTGCGGCGATTCACGAGCCGTGCTATGTCGAGACGGTAAGGTGGGCTTCTCCACCCAGGACCACAAGCCCTGCAACCCCCGTGAAAAGGAGCGCATCCAGAATGCTGGTGGTTCAGTCATGATCCAAAGGGTAAACGGCTCCCTGGCTGTGTCACGGGCCCTCGGGGACTATGACTACAAATGTGTGGATGGTAAGGGCCCCACAGAGCAATTAGTGAGTCCTGAGCCTGAGGTTTGTGTGTTAGAGCGGGTAGCTGAAGATGAGTTTGTGGTTCTGGCGTGTGATGGAATCTGGGATGTCATGTCCAACGAAGAGCTTTGTGATTTTGTCCGCTCACGACTGCTGGTTTGTGACGACCTGGAGAAGATCGGTAACTCGGTGGTGGACACTTGTCTTCATAAGGTAAGCCTTCTTCTCCTCATATAATATGCATTTACCATAAAAGTATAAAAAACATGTTTTTTACTTTGGAGACAGTAGCACATTTGATCTTGCAGGTTAGAATCTTGAATTAAAGCTGAAGTATAAAACTCACTGGGTTGTAAATGTTAGCAGCTAGTTGGAGGAACCATAATCAGATCAACCATCAATTTCTACAAAATTTTGTTACCAACGCCTACAAAGTTGTTTCACTTTTTTGTGCTTTTGACTCATGGAGTCCAATTTGAAATGGGTTTGAGACTGGTTCCTGACGCTTGCAACAGCTCTGCCACTATTTTGAAAGAACATTTGTCATTTATTATGTGCCATCAAAACAAGATTGTGTGACTTACAAGAACACAATTGTGTACCCGTAGGAATGTTTTAAGATTTTTTATGAATTCCTTTGCAAACAGTGAAATAACACTGTTAGAGCTGTGATCAAGACAGAAGACATCAACTCTGCCCTCAATATTGAGATCAAAAGTTAAACATTTTTGTGCTGAATTGAAAAACATTGTTTAGCTGTGGTAAATGATTATCCAATGTCTTTAAGTAACAGTGTCTCCCAATAACTGGATTGCTGGCTTGATTTTACATTTCATTTAGGCTTTTATAGCTCTGAAACATGCCACAGCCTGGTGTGGATTAGATTTAATCTTTTAGGGAGGGGCAAGAGCACGCCACGGCTAAGAAAAGAGCCAGGCTGGATTTGTTGGACAAGACAAAACTAGTGGAACATTACAAAACAGTTTGTAGATCAATAATTGTTTAACTTCCACTGCCATATGTTAAAAAACAAAGTCATAAATTAAATATTAGATTAGCGTTACAATCCTAGATTATGCTGCTACTCTCAAATCAGAGATCGCCCTGTTGGGAAAAACGACGCTCTTTGCATTGTGCATTTCATTTTCTGGTTGAAGTTGAAACATGGGGTTAAAAAATTCTCCAAAATGTTTAAAATGCCAAAAAGTTCAAACTTGACCACCTCTATCCCTTTGATGACAGAAATTACTGCCAGCGGATTCCCTTTTTTTTTTTTACTCCGTCTGTTGTTCTTAGCAGCAGAATATGAATAATGAGATCATAATGACACTTTAAAAAATCATATCTTGTTTTAATGAACACGGAACAGTAAGGTTCCCCTTTTTGGTTCCAGTAATCAGCGTTTGTTCTCTTTAATTTGAGAGTTGTGAAGTTTTCTATTGCCTGTGTTGAGCAGAAAAGAATGACAAACTATCTTGAATCAAGCACAAGACACAGTCCTTCGTGTGTGTGTGTGTGTGTGTGTGTGTGTGTGTGTGTGTGCGTGCGTGCGTGCGCGTGTGTGTGTGTGTGTGTGCACGTTTTTTGTTTCCCTCTTTGCACATTTTATGATGTAGCATTTATGCTAATGTTATGAGATAACTCTGGTCTTTTGGTCTTCCTGCAGGGGAGCCGGGACAACATGAGCGTGGTGTTGGTGTGCTTGCCTGGAGCACCCAAGATCTCCGAGGAGGCTGTGAAGAAGGAGGAAGAGTTGGATAAATATCTAGAAACTCGTGTAGAGGGTTAGCATTTCAAACACACGCACATTCGTAAATTCTAAGCTATTTTACAAAAATGTAACCAGTCTGCATCAGTTTACACTAATATTAGCTAAGAAGTAGCCTCTCTGTTCAATTCTTTCACCTCTGTGGCAAAAGGTAGTGGTAAAATACCAAACTCGGTATGAATCACGCTGAAGTGTTGCAGCACTACATGAGCTAACATTTTCTCTGCACTGTTTGACTTTACCTCTAGAGCTTCTGGGAAACTGTGGGGAGGCCGGAGTCCCTGATCTGGTGTCTGTCCTAAGGAGCATCGCCTCAGAGAACATCCCAAACCTTCCACCTGGCGGAGGCCTGGCCAGCAAGTAAATATACCATCAACTGTGTTTTCTTCACACACGTCTGTCTTTCTATCATAGTGAGGACCATCCATTGACTTACATTCATGTTTGTGACTGTATTATGCCTAACCTATACCCTAACCAATGCTGATCAATTCCTAACCTTAACTCATCGCTGCCAGCCGTTTCCTGATCGATAAAGCCCTTCGCTGCCAGCGTTTCTCACCGTTTTTACTGTTTTTTTAAGAGTCACAGAACGTTGCGCGCTAGGATGATGTCGACGCCAAAACAACCAAAACAAAGTGGAGACTCACCTCTTACATCAGGAAGAGTCCATGTGTTTCGAGCTTTATCCGTTCTTTCATAATCCGTTGTCGAATTGTGATCGGCAGAAGCTTTTCCGGTTCGCGCCTCACTTTTTTTACAGCAGCGGCCAAAAACGATCTCCTAACACATGGATTTTCTGCTTCCTGATCACGTGACGTGTGACGAACGCAGATGAAGATCGGCTTTAGAGCTGAGATCTTTGTTCTCACGGTGCGGGGACTCGTTCTGACGCCCACACAGTAAAAAAATGCAAATGACTACTTTAATCGTCATTGGCAGTGAACGGTTGGATTTTAAATGACGACTTTTGTCATCAATGGCAGTGAATGAGTTAGCTAAAACTTAATTCACACCATAACTCTAAAACCAACCGGTAAGCTTCTAAAGAAAGTGAGGACCACAAAAATATCCTCACTTTGAAAACTGTCCTCACATTGTAGGGAAAATAGTGAAAATGGTCCTCAGTATGTGGTAAGTACAAGAACGCACGCACGCACGCACACACACACTAGATGTCATTAGGATTGATCTGTGATAATTATCCCATTAGAGATTTTCCTCTAGCTCCACAAACCCATTTTATTTTTAATAATCCAACTTTCTGCCCTTCTACAGCCTGCTGATGTGTTAGAAAACGATCTTTTTGAACTGGTATTATTTTTTTCATATGTTGAAATGTGAAAGAGACAAAAAGTTAACAAAGCTTCAGTTTTCATGTTAAAGGGGCCATGTCATGAAAAATGCACTTTTTGGAGCTTTTTTGCCACGTTTTATTGCCATTTTCTCATGAGAAATACCCCCATACCCTTTTTGGACTGCATTCATGCATTTTCCTGCCTCTGCTTCAATTTGGTCGATATAAAGATTTTCCTGCCTCCAGGAAAAGTAGCCCGCTTCCGTCATAAGGCATCTGTCCTCTCCCTGAAGCTGGCCTGGTCTCGGTTCTGAAACCTGGATTTTCTGTTGAGATAAATGACTTCTGCATTGAGAAGTGACCAAATTCAAAGGCCTTTAGAGACACAAAATATTTGACAGAAAATAATCAATAAAACCAAAATATAAATAAATGAAATCTGCTTGAGCTGGCTAAATAATTTACTGCCGACGCCACCGGGAGTCATACCAACGTTAGAACATGGCAAAATGAGACAAAAGCCAGGTGCTTAAACCACTGGACTACCAAGGCCGATGCAACAGCAGGCTGGCCGGAGACGCCATTGCTGTTGCATTTTGTCGGAGCGGGCGTGGGCGGAGTTTCACTGAAATGAAGCATTTTATTTCCTGGTATAAATTCATGCTGACAACAGTAATTCATATTTAAGATAAATGATACCTCAGTAGTGCCAGCAGTAATATTGTATCATATATTGTGCCTACCTTTGCTCTCAAATGTTTAAAATAGCACGATATGGCTCCTTTAAAATTTCAGTAATTTCTACATTATTGTCTAAATACATTAATCTGAGACAAATTTGTTAAGATCAAATCATTCAGAAATACTGTTTATAAGTTTTAGGACTTAAGAGTACTACCATGCATAAAAAAGCCAATTATTTTTTAAATCTCTAACAACCTTTCTAACAAAAATCTCCCAATCTATTCTGGGTAAAGTCTTACAGATGCTGAGATATATTTGGATTTCGGTTTTGTATCAAATCTGATCATTTAAGTCACTTCACAATTTCCATAAGAATAAAAAATATATATTAAACAGCAAATTCACTGATAACGTTTAAGAAAGTGTATTACCAGCTTGATAATATTCATCACCAGTAGACCAATAAAGAGACCATGTTGTTTCTTTATGTGCACATCATCAACTGTTATAGTTCCATCCATCTTTTAACCAAAATGTGTTTGTGAAGCGTGAACAGAGCTGCTTTGTGCTGCAGATTCTTCTCTAAGCAGAGAATTTGTGCTTTTTTTTAAATGTTTGCAGACGAAGCGTAATCGAGGCGGTTTACAACAGGCTGAACCCTCACAGAGAAGAGGAAGGGGTGAGTTTTACTCTCTCCAAACCTTCACTTCTTCAACCCTCTCCTTCTTCCTCCATTAATGCCATGAATGTACACCAGCCCAAAGCAAAAACATGTCTGCGTGTGAATATTTACACTAATCAGCCATAAAAGTACGACTGCCGACAAACTAAGTGGACAGAAGCCGTCTTGGTGTGGGTGGTGTCAGCTGTTTAGGTCTGGAGCTCGTGTGACTCAGACACACAACCTCTTTTATCCATAGCAGCTTAAGATTTTGGCACAGTGGTTCATAAAGTTATGGCTGGTCCATTTCATTTTGAGCGTGTGTGAAAATGTACATGTAAGTTGAGGAGTTGAAAAATAGCAGAATAATTGTAGAAGAAGTTAAAAGCTTAGATCCACGTTGAGAAGGACAAAAGCTCTGACATGTTTGTGTTCATCAGTGAAACAAGACCTCAGGAAACCTCCACAATGAGCTCATGTCCTTTAAACTACTGAGTCTTTGAGACCATCCTGGTTTATAAAGCACTGATGTTTGAAAACAGGAAGCACAGCAGCGGTGAATCAAATACATAAACCTGATAAAAGAGGATGTTAATAAAAATAATAATGCATTGAACTTATATAGCGCTTTTCAAGACCCCCAAAGACGCTTTCACACACTCTCACATTCACACACTGCTAGTGATGGTAAGCTACTTGTAGCCACAGCCGTCCTGGGGCGGTCTGACAGAGGCGAGGCTGCCATTTGGCGCCTTCGGCCCCTCTGACCACCACTAACACAGGCAAGTTGGGTGAAGTGTCTTGCCCAAGGACACAACAGCAGGATATCCCTGGCGGGAGCTGGAATCGAACCCATGACCCTCCGATCATGAGGCAACCCGCTCTACCACCTGAGCTACTGCTGCCCCATGTTGAATATTAAGTTCATGATGTTCACTAACAGTCTCACTGATTCATCATAAAGAGCTTAGGGTCGGGTTAGGTGATGTTTTCTGCCTTTTTCTTTTCTCAGTGTGATTCATTCCTCCTTCTTTGAGATGTTAGAGACAGGAATCACTCTGTTCAGTGTAGTGAACTGTTTGTGTACTTTTTAAACACTTTTTGAAAACATATTACTGTGAAAAAAAGATATGCTTTTAAAATTGAGTGTTTCATAAAGTTTTAAACATATTTCTGTGCAATAGTCATATTTATTATCTTAGCTGTGGTTCTGAACAGCCTCAGGTTGGAGAAATAGCAGATATGTTTTCCGGGAATCATGTGCTAACAGCTAGTCAGAAAGCAGCCAAAATCAACGCTGCCATCACGTAAAAATTTTTTCATCTTAACATTGGACTAACCGCCTTTTATTTGCACAATATGTGTTTTTAAGTTATAAATTAGGGTTGTGCCCAAAATTATCAAAGTACATTTTAATATCTTATGTGGTTAAAACAAAAGTCTGCCATCACAATATCAAGGATATGATGTCAGAACGCATTTATGTTGTCTAGTGGACACAATCATTTATTATGAGACAACATGTTGTGCAAAGGGTTTTATGAATAGTTTCACACTGCCATCATGCACTATAGGGAGCCCTAAGTCACACCCATCTACTTCTGGATCATGGGTTCCCCGAAAGAACGAAAAAGACATCTGTGAATTTTAAAGATGCGTTTTCATACCAAGAACGCACTCATTTTCGAACGGGGGGGAAACGCAATTTTAGGTTTTGTGTGAAAATAAGTCCAGGACTACAATTGCGCTTCACGAAAGTGACGTCATCAAACCAGACACAGAGAAAAACAGAGGGAAAATGGCTGTAAGTTCAGCAAACTTGAAATCATTCCTTCAGGTGGAAAGAAACACCATAAATCTGGCCATGTGGTAAGTAGGTTGCAGGTTCGAAACTCAGCTGCGGCCTTTCTGCGTGGAGTTGCGTGTTCTCCCCATGCATGCGTGGGTTTCCTCGGGTACTCCGGTTTCCCCTCACAGATCACAACATGCCCTATAGGTTGTAAATTTTAAGTCACTTTGGATAAAAGCATCTGCCAAATAAATAAACATAACATAAGTAGCAGGTACGCTAGGGGAGAGGAGAATCTGTGGTGATGTCATTTATGCGACGTGCCAATGTCTGATTTGTAGTCATGCTAATTTAGAACTTTTACAAGCTGATAAATCTTAAAGTATGTGACTGGCATGGTACACCCGTCATGCGTTTTCATTTAAATATAAGTACAACATATGTGAGATCCAGGGCATAAGGCAAAGCGGATAAAAAAATAGCTGTTTTAGCCCCGTTGACTTGCATTCATTTTTTTTGTTCTTCCCAGGACCCATGAGCCAACTGGAAGGGGAGACTTAGGCTCCCTATTAATCAGACAAAGTAACAAGTGGACTTTGTATCAAAAATTGTTAGACTTGTTATTTATTTACCTTTTGTTGTAACATCATAAATACCACATTATTGATTTTGAGGCTAAATTGCTCACTTCCATCAAACAAAACAGAAACTGTAATTAACAAGAAGATCACATTAGAGCCCTGCACTGAAGCCCTAGGCCCTCGGGTCGGCCCGAGGGCCGGGCTTCGGGCCAACGACTGTGTAATTACCTCGGGCCGGGTGCTTTTATTTTTAATCGAATTCATTAAAAAAAACAACTGGAACACTTGAGCAGCACCTGCCTGCTTCTCACGCACCGTAAGCTCAATTAAGGTCTGTGTGGTTTATAAATGCGCCTATCTAAACGAATTCTCAAACTGCTGATTGAAACATGTGCCCCTATTCTAATTTGCCATTTTATGTCCACTTTGATGTCAGAAACCATTTGTTTATTCTCATGAAAACGGCAGCATTCTATTTTTCTGTGAATAAATTCGCTCTGCAGTAAAAAAAAAATTCAGCATTCATTGCTGTTTTTTTTCTAACTGGAGAGCGCATTTTCAGAGCGGCAGATTAAATTTACAAACGCTATGTTAATTGGGGACGTTCATTTAATCTGCCTCAGAAAATGCGCTCTGCAGTTAGAAAATTAGAATGCTGCTTTTTTTTCTAATTGCACAAGAGCGCATTTTCAGAGCAGATTAAATTTACAAATGCATCCAATTAATATAGTGTTCATAAATTTCATCTGCCACTCGAAAAATACGCTCTGTTAGAAAAAAAGCTGCATTGATGCTGTTTTTCCTTCCTTTCTTTCTTTTCTTTCTTTCTTTTTTTTTTCTTTTTTTTTTTTTTTTTTACTGCAGAACGCTTCTCGCAGATAATTAGAATGCTGAGCATTCTATCACGCTAAAACATTATGAAAGGTTAAAAAAAAATCGGGCTCGGGTCGGGCCAGAGAATCCTGAAAACCTTTTCGGACCGGGTCGGGCTGGGGCTCCATCCCGTCGGGCCGGGCCGGACACTGGCTCAGATTTTAGGCCCGTGCAGGGCTCTAGATCACATCACTATGTAGCACCTGTTAGCAAACGTAGCACTTGTTAGCTAGCATAGCACCTGTTAGCTAACATAGCACCTGTTAGCTAACGTATCACTTGTTAACTTCAAACAAAATCAAACTATGGAGCTTTCTAAACTGGGGTCCATGTTGTGGGATTTTCTAAGGATGTAATTGAATAAATGTGTGTTTCTCCTAACAATCAATGTGCACCCTCTGTTTTACGTGTGTGGGACTAAGGTTGGGCATTTGGATGAGTTTATCAACCATTGGCTATAGTCCAACCCCTTACTGATTGTTTTTTTTTAATAATTTTTTTTACGAGTGATATATATTTTATGCCTATAAGTTAATCACACAGATCAGACATTTCAAACTTCCGTGTCAAATCAGTTTCATTTTTGCAGGCCTTTTTAACACAGATGACTTTGTACTTCGTTCTCCTCCATCTCCTCATGCAGTCACCACATCTAAACCAGGCTCTAAACCCACGTTTCGCATCGTTTTCATCCACGAGTAAAACATTAGCTCCGTATTTTTGTACTTCTGTAGTCACGGGTGAATAAAGATTCACTTTTAAGGCTGACACTGTTGTCCTTCACCTCCTCCATTTTCCACACTATCATTTGCCTATGACTCATGCTAACACCAGCAAGGCAGCCACGCGGCGCAGGCAGCTTAAAGCCCAGTATTGTTTAAGAGATGCTGTCACGTATGTGATGCTGCCTACCGATTCCAAGTCTCGTGATACCCGATCCATGACTCCGCAACTGATCAATCTAGGAATTCATGGATATTTCCTATCGATTGAGTAGGCTGCTACCGATGCAGCCGTATGTCTCACTTGTTGAAAAAATTATGTGGTGGCATTGGTTTATCCTTTTCATCCCTATTTATAACCCATCTTCCATTTTTAATACTGACAAATGTCTCTTGAGAATTTTTTTCATATCACCCAACCCTACGTTGGAAATCACCATCGACATAAATATAGGAAATCACCCAACCCTATGTGGGACAAAGGGGAGGGCGGCCAAAGACTAGTGAGCATGTTATGGTGAGCTGAGGAGGAGAGGTCTGCTGGAGACTTCCAGCAACCAACATAATTCACACTTAACACAAAATTTTTCTAGCAGATCAATTTGTAAACAACTTCTGTAATATAGGAGATGCACAGTTGCGAGTTGGCTTGACTTTAGCTAACTCTTCTACATGTAATAATGACATCATCTAAAGAAGTAACATATAAAGGGATTGAGGTTTTTGTCATATTGACAGCCTGAAAGGAAAGCAACAAAACTGTAATGTGAAAAAGAAATTAGTGTAAAGGTTTATTAAATAACGCTTGCATGGACCACTGAATGTAGGAGGTTGGAGCTGTTTTAAGATATCAGTCTGGTTTTCATTTGATCTAGCTTTGAGCTTGTTAATCCTGAAGAATTTAATCTCTATTTCTCCAGTGACCATTCTGGAAGCTATCTAAGATTTTATTTATAACTTTTATGTAGACCGCACCTGAAAGTAGCTGAAATATCCTTTGATGTGGTGTGGACGCATCAGAAAACACACCTAATGATCATTACAAGCACTTCTACAAGAAGATACTTTATTCAACCCTTTACAAAAGTATCTTTGAAGGCTTCAGGTGTTTTTGTTTTCATTCTAAACCAAAGATCAGCGTCAGCTTTTTGTTAGCCTGTCGAGTGTGAATGTGGTAACTATGTAAAAATGTATAAACGTCAGATGATCTTTGACTTGTGATTGCTTTTGTCGAGTACCTAGCACTCCCTTTCCCGACTACACAACAAACATCACACGGGGCTGCTGGTCACGGGGTCAGAAGTAGCGTTTGCGGGGTGACACAAGAATGTTTGTGCCACTTTCGTACTGCTGGGTGATGTCAAATCTTTGCTTGACAGCCATCTGAATATTGTACCGACACTGCTTGTTGGATATGTGCTCTGATGTGTTTGAACATGGAGCATGTCTGCAGACTCTGACCCTAGCGTGTCACCTCAGGGGGGAGAAGAGGAGGATGAGGAGAGTGAGGAGGGAGGTGGCAGCACGGCAGCTCATCTGATGGAGGCTCTGCGGCAGTTCCGCCTGCACCACCGGGGGCAGTACTGCACAGTGCTGGAAGACACGCTGGCTACCTACTGTCTGCGGGGAGAGAACGCCGCTGAGGGAACCGGGGAGAGCAGGAGGAGCGCTGATGATGATGACCACCAGGAGCAACCCGACTCCCCTCCTTCTCCCCCCTCGCCCCCACCCTCACCTTCCACCGCAGAGCAGGAGGCCAACCAAGATACCCCTGATATCTCCTCTGAATGAACACCCGTTCGTCCCATCCCCTGAGCTTTGTCACGTGTGTTCCGACCTCCTCTTTACCCCAGCACAGAACATGAACAGACACGTCGGCCATTATTGCTCCTTAATTAAATGATCTGGTAATAATTGACCGGAAACAAATATGGCCTTTCTGTGTGTTCAGATTCTGTTCCCAGTACTCTTTACTGTACCACCTACTGAGGCATTTTGTTTCCTTTTATATGTTGACCACACTGATGTTTACAGTAGAAACAAGGCAACAATTGTTTATTGTTACAGGTAAAAATGACTAAATGTTTCCTGGTCTTTGCTCTGGCCGGTCCTCCTCCTTCCTCCTCTTCTCCCCACCCCTGCTTCTAGAGAATGCATTGATAAACAGGAGTGGAAACACAGATGCACCATCTGAATCCATGGTCAGCGTTCAGGTGTAAACATACTTTTGAGCAACAGAACAAAAAAAGTCCTCCTGAATGTACTTTTTTTCCTTTTTTTTTCACCACTCTGGAGTAAACTCATTTTTTACTATGTAGGTTCAGTGTTAAAACGATGCTCCTACATGACCGCGCTTCAACACGCGGCCCGACAATCGCCTGTAGAGTGTGTTCTGGTCCTAAACGTAACGCAAGCCTCTGTGACAGCATCATTCTCCTCGCACACCTGTGGGGAAAAACAAGCTGGTGCAGAACATTAGAACACAAATATTACATGAACTCATTATCGCTTGTTTGGATTTGTGGTTTCTTGTGTTGTGTTTTTATATTTGAATTGAAATCAAAGCCACAGTAGGGAGGATTTAGATGCTGTCATCAGTTGAAGCCCAGCAGGTCAGACGACATGGAGGTGATGCTGAGGAAACAGAACCTTGGTTTTTGTAATAAAAAGACATAAAGGGTTGGGGTTATTGTTGATGTGTTTAAACAGTTAAACTAAAGCCAGTATCTCACTGAGCTGTAGTTAGTTTGAGAAACAAATTTCCTCTTGGGATTATTACAGACAACACTTTTGTAAAAGGTCCTACATATGGCCGTTCCACATAGAGCAGTTGATGTAATTATAAACGTATTGAAATTGAGACTTTTTTCTTTTTTAAAGAAATGGCTGATTTTGTTTGCGGTTTGGTCTCAACCCCATCCCTCTGTCGTCTCACATTTCTCTTACTGACTTGCAGAAACGTGAGACAAGTTTGAGGCAAATCTTTTTCAGTTTTTAAGCATTTTCAAAATTCCACCAACATGATGATGAAGCTTTACGGCACTTACGAGGTAATTGAGAAGCCCTGCAAACTTGTCAATATCCTGAAAAGTTATAAATGTGTTGCTACAAGCTGCAGCTCGGTCAGATACTAGCCTACATCTAAAACATATCGCTAATTCGTGTTTAAAAAGGAAAAGGCTGTGGACTTATAGAACTAATGCCTTCTTTGTTAAACTTTCCAGTCGGCATGTTGAATGTTGACATGTAGTACATAACTTTTAGTGTGAAATGTGCATTCTGTTTATGTTGAGATGTATAATTATGTGGAAATGATTTTATGGGAAACTATGCTGGAGTAAAGTCTTCATCCGTTGGGGTGGGGGGGGGGGGGATTTCTTGCAGGACATCACATTAAGCTCGTACTTCTGTCTACTTTAGCTGAAACGTTTTCATCTAAAGTTTTATTACAAAACATGCAACCTGCGGTTTACCCCTCTTCAACACCAGAGGTGGTTGTAAGTCGTTGGTAATGCACGCTCTGCACGTTCGTCAGAGGCCAATTGTATTAAACACCGTGTGTATGGGAGGAGGAGGGGGGGTTGAGTTGTTAAAATGTGGAGCAAATCAGTCCTCCAAGTGACAAAGTAAAAATGGCTGAATAATGATTCTCTCATGTACTTCAGTTGTGTTTCTCACCATAAAGCAATTGTATCCCTCTGTTTCTTGTGCTGTGCTGATTCGTTGTGTAGATCCGAGTTACGAAAAAACAGAACATTTCTTGCAGATTCTAATAATTGTTGAAGCAGCTCAGCTGTATTGTACATTTGAGACGGGGCCGTCTGCTGGTCCTTTAAGCGGATATTTTGGCGCCCCTATGTTGTGGTGTGTATGTGTCAGTAGTTTGTAAAGTACTTGGGAGGAGTGAACGCAAAATGTTACACCAGAAGTCCTTCACTGTCCTCTGTATGCTTCCAATTAGACTCAATGTCATGTTAGCACTTTGTTTTGAAACCTCAGTGGCTTTTGTGAGTGAAGCCTCAACAAATGAGAGTGGGCAGCTTTACTTTGTGATCTATCTGTGGACAGCAGTAGCGATGTAGAGGCTCCAGTCTCTTCACCCCCTCCCTGTTTTTCAGTCTGACAGTTGGCCTTGTGATTCTCTGCAAGGTGAGTCCACCGAGGTTCTGGCTGTGTGAACGTTCAGGCTGGGCGGAGTTGATTACTAACTGGAAGTAATTACTCCTGACTATCAAATGAAAGCTAATGCATGTCTCCTTCCGTGTATTTCTTATGTATCTTCTCCTTCAGAGTGCTGGTGACCTGGATGACCCCTGGTAGCCATGGTAACAACCCCCCCACCCCCCTTCTGGTGACCTGTGCATCCACCCAGAGGAGGATCGTCTCTCTATTGCGCCATGTCTTTCTCCACTAAAAGAGGACATGTGGTGTGTGCTGAAATGCGTGAGTGTGTGCATGTTGGTCGTATGTATGTGTGTGTGTGTGTGTGTGTGTGTGTGTGTGTGTGTGTTCGCAGCAGCGGGACAAGACAACACCCAAAACACGCATACTGCTTTAAACCCGGAGGAAACGCCGAATCACTTCTCAGAAATGTCTGAATTTTATGAACTGAAGCGTGATGGTAAAGATGATTTTTAACTTTGAGATTTTGTTTTTTTTCTTGAATGTTGAACACCTGACTTCACAATGACATGAGGACCTATTGAGCACGTTTCTTTGTGTGTGTGTGTGTGTGTGTGTGTGTGTGTGTGTGCGTGCGTGTGTGTGCCAGTGTGATGAGGGCCAAGAGGACACACATGGTGGGAAAAGACTTTGTATGTAATTTTTTTTTCTTCGTGCTCCTGGGTCTGAAAATCACCTAACACCCTTGCTTCTTCCCTCTTTAAAACAAATACACACTCTCTCTCGCTCGCTCTCTCTCTCTCTCTCTCTCTCTCTCTCTCTCTCTCTCTCTCTCTCTCTCACTCTCACACACACCCAGATACACAAACCCATACACTGTCGTCCCCCCCCCCCCCCCCCCCCCCCATTTCCACTTGTGTGTGATGTGCCACCTTCGCAGGGCACTGCATGAGGACTTTGGTTCTACATGTACAGCTTTGTGGTTTTCTAATCATTCTCAATGGACAGCCATTGGTTGACTGAACCTGAAGGACCTCTGGACACTGATTGGCCCCTGCTGTGTGACAAATGGAAATGATTTGGATTTTATTTTTGTTGATTCTATTAGAATAAAAATAATGATGATGATGATAATCATGATTGGGAAAATGGGAGGTTGTCGCCATAAAGCCAAGTACAGTTGGACTCATGGCTTTTGAGGGTAATGGGGAGGGTTTGGGGCGGGGGTGGTTATTGTTGTATCACTGGTTGGACTTCCTGTATGAAGAGTGTAAGCCTCAACATTAATGTCACAGTTGTAGGTCCACGTGACAGCAGACTGTTGTGACAGAGGAAAAGGCTTCCTTTCTTTTCTCTCTTTTTTTAAATGTTGTCCATGAGGTTACTAGCTGCTCGCTACGTAGAGTGAGTGAACTCCCCGTTTTAACCCTTTTCCTGGTTCTCAGACTGCATTGGTAAAGTTTGTATTGCTGTTGTTTGATTGCACTCACATTTGATTACAGAAAGCGTCTATATATGAAATAAAATACCTGCCAAGGAAATGGTGGTGGTGATGTATTTTTATTCAGCAGGAATCATCATTTCTCAGTGTGTGTGTGTGTCATTTTGTAGATCGTATGTAAATGATGTTAGACACCATGTCTTTACTCTTGAAGCAAATGTATACATATGTACAAGCTGATAAGCATGTAGCACATCAGTACATATTATCTTAAAAAGATTGAGTAGTTTATTAAACAGAAGAACTGCGTTTTCATGAACACTGAAAAAGCATGTTAGCAAGTCTTGTGGATCTGGGTTTGTTTGGACACCAGCCCTGGCAAAGAACCCCAGATTGTCCCCTCCCCAGCCATGTCTGCCAGCTCCTACAGTGGGATTATTCAGCATTCCCTGGCCAGCAAGAAATAAAATCCTTGTGCCCTGATTTGACCATATGGTCTTCTCCTGACATGCCTGGACCACCTCATCTAGCTCCTCTCTGACTGACTTCTAGAAGTTCACCCTACCTCTTAAAACTGAACCCAAACATCCTGCAGAGGAAATCCATTTTAGTTGCCAGTTTCGGCGATCTTGGTCACATGGTTATTCCAATGGCCAAATGAGGATTAGGATGTAGATCGACTGAGAAATTGGAATTTCCAGCTTCTGTTTAGCTTCCTTCTAATCCACGACAGACTCGTTCATTTGATCAGGCCATGGATCTAGCCGCACTGTTCATACCCCACTCATGAAAATTATCCTAAGGTACACCATCTCTTGAGGTAAGACCTCCTCCCTAATCCAGAGTTGGTGTTCTGCCCATTTCTGGATGAGAACTATGACCTGTTAAAACAGTTTTCCTAGTGCCCAGTTTTTGAAAAACACAATTCAATTCAAAGATACTTTATTAATCCCAGAGGGAAATTAGAGTTTCAGTACACACAATTCTGAGATCAGACATACATACATAGACATGACAAGAATAGGTGACTGTGGTCATTCGCAACCCGAGTTGCGCTACTTTATTAAGGTAGCTTAAGGGGCTGAGGGAAAACTGGATTGAAGATGAGCCAACGTTAACTCTGTTGCCTAATTGCATTTGGAAGGAACAATCAAAGGTTGTACTCTCCTGTAGCGCCTCCCTGAGGGAAACGGTGTTGAGGAGGTGGTTAGTAGCTTTAGTACTAAAGCACCATGCTCTCCTACATGTTGCAGTTTTCATGCCACACAGTGATGAAGCTGATTTCTGCTAGTCTCATCTCACCAAGGATATCTTATCTTTATCAATCACTGAGATCATACATCACAATGAATAAATAAGAAATCAGCACAGGTCCAGATTAACCTTGTGTCACATACAGTTGAACATGCATCTAAGAAAAACCTTTTGAACCATTTTCTTCTAAAAAAAATGATACCAATGTAGAGGGAGGTGACGCTGTGTTCAGATTTTAAAACAGGATTTTGACTTGGTGTAGTGGTCAGCACTGTTTCCTTGTAGCATTAAGGTCCCTGGTTCAAATCCCAACCTGGGATTAAGTTTGCATGTTCTCCCTGTGTATGCGTGGGTTCTATCATAGTACTCCGGCTTCATCCCATAGTTCAAAAATATGACTGTTCGGTTGAATGTCCTGCCTAATTGCCCCTGGGTGTGGTTGTGTGTGCTTGGTTGTTTGTCCTGTGTGTCACTGTGTTGCCCTGCGATGGACTGGCAACCTGCCCAGGGTGTACCCCTCCTGCTTACCTGGAGATGGGCACCAGCTCCCTGTGACCCTGAGTGGTAAGTGGGTATTGAAAATTGATGGATGGATGGATTTTGACATTTCCAAATGTAGAAGCAGCTGTAGTACTTGCAGTAAAAAATAAGTATGCACTAGGGAATGTATAAATTAAAATAACGTTATTTAAATATGTAACATTTGCAAAATGATGGCATTTTTATAGTTTGACATGGAAATTGGGGCACCTTGGTTCAATTTAACAAAAAGATTTTTTTCCAAAGATTTTAAAACATGGCCATAAAGTTAGTCTGCGATCGTCAATGCAAAAAAAAAAAAAAGAACCTCATAAAAATGTGTCGTCTCCAAAATGCCTATAAACACACACGCACACACCACTGATGTCTAATCTGTCACTCTGTCATAATTTGATCACAATCCCTGATCATAATCACATCGTATCTTAAAGGTGTTCTCAATCTGTTGTGGGATTATGGTGTGTGTGTGTGTGTGTGTGTGTGTGTGTGTGTGTGTGTGTGTGTGTGTGTGTGTGTGTGTGTGTGTATTAGTGTGAATGAGCAATCCAAATATAATATTGGGGGTAAATTTAATTTGATGACAGTGGGGGGTGGGGGGGGGGGGGACGTGTGTGCCTGCCTGCTGATGAATCCACTTTAAGCCAGATATTACCAAACAATAGACTGACTCTGTCCTGCTGAAACGCTCCAGGTTACCGTGTTTTGTTAATCTTTAATCTCTGTCACTTTAATTTGTTTTTACAAGAGAAAACAAAACAAGATGTGACTAAGAGGCACAGATGAACAACAAAGCAATTTGATTTAGACATGTCAGCATCTTTGAAAACAAATCCCAAAGAATAGAGAAAAATGATTGCCTTGGTGCCAACAGTTAGTGCTTTGTATCCAGTAGAATATCTAGAACCAAAGAGATTAACGATTATTAATCTGCAAAAAACGTCATGAACCATGAATAGGCAGATACAATGCATTTAAAGAACAATATTCATCTATTTCAGTGCAGTTTTCTTTATTTTGCAACAAAAAATCAGAAGTAAACATCACAATTATTCAGTATTAAAATTTTTGCTGCCCTCTTATTAATAATCCACAATAATCTAAGATCCACAACCTGTAATAGAGAGAAACATATTTGAGATGTAGTCTTTTCATGTGTATGAGCGGGAACACAAAAAAACCTAGTAAAAGTTATTATTCATTCAAATTTGAATAGAAATTATTGTGCATAATAAAAATTTATGTTTTATGTAGAAAACCCCCCAGTCCCCAGATTAAGAACTGCTCTATACCAACAGTTTAATTGATCCCAAATTTGTCAGATGGAGTTCAACACTCATCATCAACGCTACTTGATCTGTTAAAATATTCTGAAGAAATCTTTGCAAACAAGGAACCAGGCAGGAAACAAAACTAAGTCATTTTATTAAACAGTCATGAGGATCTGCAGTGAGAATGGACTACCTTGATTCCATCTGTAAAAGCGTGTAATGTAATGATGTCAAAATAAAATTGATTATAATAGAAATGACGAAAGAAATCAGCTGCAATAAAATAATGCAGAAATGTATATCTGTGAATATCTTTCTAACAGAAATAATAATATAACTACTAGTAATGTAAAGAAGAAACACTTAAAGTGTAAATCAGTGTTGTTAGTAATCAAACCTATATGTGAATGTACCCCATAAGGAATTATAGATTAGTAGATAAAATAGGCTGCACAGTGGCTAGAGCTGTTGCCTTGTAGCAAGAAGGTTCTGGGTTCGCTTCCCGGCCTGGGATCTTTCTGCATGGAGTTTGCATGTTCTCCCTGTGCATGCGTGGCTTCTCTCCGGGTACTCCGGCTTCCTCCCACAGTCCAAAAACGTGACTGTTAGGTTGATTGGTCTGTCCAAATTGTCCTTAGGTGTGAGTGTGTGTGTGCATGGTTGTTTGTCCTGTGTGTCTCTGTGTTGCCCTGCGATGGACTGGCTCTCTGTCCAGGGTGTACCCTGCCTGATTGCCCGTTGACCGCTGGAGGTGGGCACCAGCCCCCCCACCCCCTTGCGACCCTGCGTGGACAAGCGGGTTCAGAAAATGGATGGATTGATGGATGGATAGAGAAAATAAAAATGGAATTTAGATAAACATAACAGTTTGTGGAATACTCCCTTTTACTGTTAGGACTTAACCATTAGAGGATTCCAGGAACCCACAGCTTGACCATCCCAAGTCACTCCAAGTCTGCATGTCATGTATAGACAGGAAATACAACCATGCACACACACAAACACAAACACACTTGTGTAACCTGAAACAGAGAACTAAGGGACAGGCGACGGAAAATTCACCCCCCTTTTGGTTTGATGCGTGTTGGGTTATCAGAGTCTTCTTGCCACTTCGGCAAAAGTTTCTTAGCCAGTTTACCACAGGTTGTTTTGGTGTGACCGGAGTTAGGAGCAAAGATGTAAAACCAGGCCTCATCATCCATGTTAAGTTCAGAATGTGAGGCTTTCTGATCATAATAAGCCTTCCTGCCCTCAGCTGATTAGTCCCAGATTTTTCTGTGCAAAAGAAAACGGTGCAGGCAGATGTTTTTTCAGGTCCTGCAAATACTGCTCGTTAGTGTAAGCCGGAGCGGCACTGGGATGAACAGACTGATTCAGTAGGTGGAGAGGCAGGGTCATTTGTCTACCCGTCATCATTTCAAATGGGGAGACACCTATAGACTAATGAGGAGTAGCCTGTATGGCCATGAGGACCAACGGAAGCTTCACATCCCAGTCTCTGTGACTAGAGGACACGTATTTCTTTAAAATCCTGACAACAGTCCGGTTCATCGTTTCCACCTGGCCGGAAGACTGGGGCCAGTGACCACTATGGAAATTGGCCTTGACACCCAACATCCGCCAAAGGTGTTCCATCACTCCAGAGGTGAAGTGAGTTCCCCCATCTGAGTTAACACGTGCAGGGAGACCGAACTGGGAGAAGATGTGATTCATCAAAATGATAGCAGTTGTCTGAGCCGTGTCGTTAGGTGCCGGCAAACATTCAACCCATTTGGTGAATGCACAGGTCACGGTCAAGAAGTATTTGTTACCTCTGCTGGACTTGGTCAGGGGCCCCACCCAATCAAATTGCAGGTCCGACCACGGTGTGGACGGCCACCTGTTCTGTAGCGGAGCTTTGTGGATGGGATTAGACGGCTGAAATTGACCGCAAACCAGACAGCTCTGGACGTAGTCTGAGATGTCTCGACGCATCCCCGGCCAATAAGCAACCTGGCTCAGGGCATCGAACGTGGCCTTGACACCTTTGTGTCCGGCA